TTAGTCTATTCATGTTTCATACATAATGACTTAGTTTATGCATGATTAGGTTTTTAAGCATATTCTTTGCGATTTGAATAAATTCGGATTTTGTAGGTTCGAAAACAACTTCAGCTCAAAAGTAAACAGGATCACAACTCTCTATCAGCATAATCCTGGCCTTGTCTTGTAGAGATTGATTCTTTCTCTCTACAACTTTCTTTAGTAAGAGTGTAAGGAGGAGAAATTGTGTTCAAAATCATTTTTATCACAAAATTCAGATGGAATGAGCTGCTTCATGCTTGTGAGCTAAGAACACTACCCTGGTATGCCCTTTTATAGTCACCCATGATCGCCAAACAGTACCTTTACCACCAAGGCTAGTGTTTCTTATTTGGTCCAAATAGATCCATCTATAATAGCTGCGAGACCTGGTCAGTAGTAACATAATTTGTATACTCGAATGAGCTCTTTACTTGCTTACCCAAGAACATGCATTGCACAATTTAGATTTTCATATTCAATTATAGGTAATCCACGCACTAGGTCCTTCGCCAAGAGCTTAGAAATCCGTTTCATGCTAATATGACCATGCTTCCTATGCCATAACTCATTTTCATCTTTGATAGATACAAGATATTAAACATTATGATAGTCAAGATCAAGGAGATAGATACAACCATATCTTTTTCTGGTAAATGATTGAGATATATCTTGAGATAAGTGCATAGGAAGTCCTAAAATTTGTCATGAAAATGCAATTAAGTCCTAAAACTTACAAAAAAGTACAATCAAGTCCTAAAACTTATCAATTGGTGCAATAAAGTTCTTATGTTAACTCCATCCAACTTGCCTAACGGAAAATGCTAACGTGCTTTTTTTATTATTTATCTCCTACATAGCGCTGACATGGTAAGAACGATGTTATTTTGGTCCAAATTTGATTTTTTAATATAATTTTTATTTAAATTTAGAATAAAAATAAGCTAACTTTACCAACAACAAAAAAAAGCCCTCGCACTCGCTGCCCCACCATCACCGGGAAGGGCTAACGATGGTGGGGGATGGCTTGCTAAGGGATGGCTGGCTAACGATGGTGGGACGGTGGCAGCAAGGGCCCTGCAGGTCATTGCCGTTTTGCCTTCTTTTCTCTTTTTTTATTTTAATTTATTTTTTAATCTAATTTAAATAATATTTAGATTGACAAATCATATATGGTCCAAAACAACATGTATTACCTTATCCATCATATTTTAGCTACGTCAGGGCCACATAAGAGAGAAAAAATAATAATAAAAAAAAGCCACGTCAGCATTTTCTGCTAACCAAATTGAACAAAGATAACGGAAGGATTTGATTGCACAAATTTGATAAGTTTTATTACTTGATTGCATTTTTTGTAAGTTTTAGTACTCAATTGCACTTTTCATGATAAATTTTAGGGTTTCCAATGCACTTATCTCATTTATCTTTACTTACTCCAACATATTTACCTTCCTCAAAACTGATTCTGAAGCCTTTATCACACAGTTGGCCGATTCTAATCAAGTTGTGATTGAGTCCCTTGACAAGAGACACATCCTCGATGATCAAGTTTCCCCTCTACCGCCAATTCTGCCTTTAATCCTTCCCTTCGAAGGTGACGAATCCACCATGGACTTTGACAAGACTCATGAACTTGGTAGGATCACCGGTCAGGTGCCGTGAGCAACTGATGTCAAAATACCACTTATTCTTCCTCTTTATAACTTACAAGAAAATATAAATTTTCTTTTCTTTGGTATCTAGATAAATTTGGGTCCTTTTCTGTCAAAGGCAGTTGTTGCGTGAAACTTCGAATTTATCCTCTTTACCTTCTTCAGCTCCTTGAGACATTCTTACTTGAAATCACCAGACTCATTACAGTTTGAGCAATAAAAAAAATGTGCTGCGATAGGTTTCATAAACTGATTTTGAGAATGATTGTTATAAAAATAAGCTAGGGGTTTTGACTTTATTCTATCCTTACCTTTAGGAAAAGGATTTTTCTCTTCATCTCCCATTTCTTGTCCCCAATTAGATTATTTGTAATGCAGAATTTAGATTTGACAAAATGTGCTCAATAGTTTTTTTTTATCTAAAGTACAACTTTTTGCTGATTTTTGACTTCTCCTCTTTAACAGAAGCACTCTCCTTATGAGAAAGCTCGTGCTCACCCTTGACGATAGCAAGTTCCTTTCACAGTTGTTTGAGTTATTCATTTTGCAAAACATCTTGACTTGTTAGTTTTGAAAATTCCTTTTTCAAATTAGAAATCCTTTTTTAAGTCTTTTTATGCTCTTAAAAAATTTCTTTCAAAACCTCTAGGAAGAAGTATCTACTTCTTCCTCTTCTTTGATTTCTGAGTCAACCATCAGAAACGGGTTGGCTTGCTCAGCATCATCATCACTTGATTCTCGATCAGTGTCACTCTAGATTTTTCTGCTTTTAGGGTACTCTTCTTCTTTATGAATTTACCCTTTTTTATTCTTGAGCAGAGGACAATTAGGTTTGATATGACTGGGATTCCCACATCCATAACAAACTATGTCCTTACCTTTGCTCACATCTTCATTCCTGGAGAACTTCTTTTCTTTAGAAGATTTCATTGGCCTTTTGTCTTTGAAATTCCTTCCTTTTCTCGTGACGCTTTTGAACATCATCATCATCTTCGGATGACGTTTGATTTCCTGCATCATCACAGTTAGCTTTAAAAGTAATAGACCTCTTACCTTTTTGTTACTTTCCTCACTTAGATGTTTAACTTCGTAAGACATTAGAGTCACTATCAACTCATCCATTGATATAGCCCGGATTCTCATGCTCTCACAGACTGAAGTCTTCATGTGACTCCGTTCCTAGGATTTTGTCCACTTTCTCGGCGCCTATGATCACCATTCCTTGGTTGTCAAGGCCATTCACAATTTTGGTGGATCTTGTGAACATTTGACTGATTGTCTCTTTGGATTTCTTCTTGAACATCTCATAATTTCCGAGAAGGATGTTCATCTTGGTTTCTCTCATTAATTTGGTCAGTACCTTCAAAAGTAACTAGGAGTCTATTCCAGTTTCTTTAGCTGTAGTACACAAAAAAATTCAATTAAACTCATATGCAGATAATGCATCATATAAAAGATGAAGAGCTTTAGCATTTAGTAACAGCATGTGCTGCTAGTGAAGCATCATTTCCAACTAGTTGAGCAGGTGCTCTCACAGTATGAGGAACTTCTGGTCCATTCTCTATCACATCCCACATGAGATAAACTATTGTTTGAAGATATGCATCCATTCTCTGTTTCCAATAACCATAGTTAGTGCCATCAAAGTATGTTGGTTTGCCAGGTTCTTGTCCTTCAATAGCACCAACACTAATAACATTAGCCATAGGTCAAGATCTTTATGCTTAGAAATAAAACTCTTTAAATAACAAGTTACGCAGGTCTGTTACCAATTGTTAAGGCTAACAAGACAACCAAGAGAAGGTGAATATGTCGATTGAAAACTTTAACAATTTTTCGCGGAAGATAGCAAGATATACTTTGACAATTGCAAAAACAAATTGATAATACTAGACGTTTGGGTGCCCCTATCAAATAGATATTGATAATATGGAACAAATATATAAGATAGCACACAAGGATATATAATGGTTTAGCTTATAACTAAGCCTACGTCCACTCTACACACTAACAGTCTCAACACCGGCTGGAATCCACTAGTAATCTACTTGTTAAATATTTTAAAAAATTAGGAGAAAAGCTACCGAAAGGATGTTAGATTAATATAACATAACTTAGTTGCCATATCCATGAATCTCTAATTCACAGAAGTAAAGTGTTTTACTTAGGTTTCTAATCGATCCTTAATAAATTAATGATGATTCTTGAATGAATTGAATTGATTGTTTAAATTGATTACATTAAAATCCAAAAGTTAGGCTTGGTATGGGCTTACAAAAAACCGCATTAAGTCTTTGGACATAGTAACCCATTAGTTTTTCCTTTGATATTTCACTTCTGGGAAGGTCGTGACAATATCACGTATAACATTTTATTTAAAAACCGTAGGATGAATAGGGATCGCATTCAAATTTTCATTCTAAACCTTTTGTATGCTCAGCTGGACTCCACTTATATAAACCATGAGATTTTAAGAACTAAAAAGACCCTGTTTTATGCCCACATCTTGACAGCTTACATTTTACACCAGAAGGATAAAGCCAAAAGCATATAAAAGATGCTGCAAAACAGCTCGAAAGTTCAACTCTTGATGAAGAGCAAGAGGGTGGAATTCAGATCCATTATAATAGCCTAACAGGGAAATCAACGTACTCCCATATCGATGAAGAATACTCATAGACTGTTGGCGAATTGAAAATGCCAAGAATATGATGACTTTGAGTAATCGAATTGAGGACCTGAAATGATCAACATAGTCTCAAACAAGGGCTTCAAATGACAATATAGTCTCTCTCGGGAAGCACGTGCATCTCACATGCCACATGATGGGGACATTTTCGTCCACATGCTTTGTTTTCACTGTTTTTCTTTTCTCTATTCATCTTCTTCGTTCTTCCATCTCTTCAGTTCATCTTCTTCATGCTTTCACCTGACGCTTAACTTTTTCCCTAAAAAGAGAGAAAAATGAAAAATCACACCAACTAAATTTGCCGGTAAAACCACATGAGTCGTCACCATCACCTCCGGCCCCGTTTCCGCGGAGGATGTACTGGAGCCGTGGCGAGCTATCGATGCTATAGGCGGGGAGAGCTAAGGAAGGCAACAAGGACTCATCCGTAAGCAACAGCGATCCCCGTTGATTAGAGGCCGTAAACATCTTTCTACAGAATCTTCCCACCTCCGGCAAACATTCCATATTATATAAACAAACAATTCTCCTTCACCTCTTTAATTTTCAGCGAATTTTAGGTCCATAAGTTCAATTTTTTTTTTATTGTAATTAAGCACAAACGGACGTAAGTTTTTGTCTCCATCCCAACCCATCTTTGACTTGAAATGGTTGGAAATTTCAATATTTTGCTTTTGCTGGTTCAGATCGATCTTTGGTTGTAAGCACGCAGGTACATGGTCATCTTTTGACTCGTTGATAATTTTTGCTTCTCCTGGTTCAGTCCAGACTCTTTTTACCAGTCGATCTGAACCAACCCAGATGTTGCTTTTGCTTTGTGCTTTTGTTTGAAGTGAAGAAGGGGTTTCGTTCAAAATGCTAAGGGAGAAGTAAAGGAGAGAAGAAAGAAGAAGACGAACTGGAGAGTCGGCTTAGGAAGAAGAAAGGAGAAGAATCGAGAAAGAAGAAAGAAAAAGCAAAGAAAGAAAGAAAAAATAGGTTCGGACAAAAATGCCCTTAAGCATAACTTGAAAAATGCATGTGAGATGCATTTGCTCACTAAAGACCTATTTGAGACTCTGTTTATCACTTCAAATCCTTATTTGAAATAATGTTCACTTCTGACCATTTTTTGAGAAAATAGTCACATTTCGTGGCCTTATTCGAAGTTTTCACTTGATTCAAACAATGTCTAAATTATCCGCATTTCTTTTGCCTTTCTGTCTCCAGCCTTGAACCATCACCGAAGATCAGACCCTGCACGTTTCGCACACAAGATAATTTTACAATTTGTACTACTATTGGAGTCAGGGGTCCCGCTTATCACTGCTGTTACATCGGGAAAATTCAATTGAATTGGGATTCTAAACGAAAAGCAGAAGAAATGGATTTCCTTACTCCTTAAACTCGACATTGATCGAAGCCATGGACGGATTGGCAATGGCTTCAAAAGCGGTCTGAGACAGGACCAAATCAGCACCGGTGACGGACTGCTTGGGGCCGGCGGCAGCGGCGGACTCAACCGAGAGGGCATTGTCGACGATCTTGACCCGGATAGTGCCGGAGCCAGGTTTGCAGGACCCGGGGCCAGACTGCGCCTTGCTGATGCACCGCACCTCGTACTCCCTGCCACACGCTGCCCCAAGGTCCCATAGTTTGTCACCCACAGCCGCGAACAGCTTGTTCTCAGGGAACTGGGATGAGCCCACACCGTAGCAATCCGTCCCTAAATCAATGGTAAGAAAAAGAAAAGTTTTTTTCTTTTTGGTCAAAAGAAAAAGGAAAGTTAACATAGCAAGTTTTCTTTTTTAATTTAAAAATGGAGAGACTTTTCGCTTCTGTTTTTCTTTTTCTTTTTCTTTTTTTTTGGGGGGTGTGTGTGTGTGTGTTGGGGGGAGTGAGGTTCGTACTTACGTTCATAAGGAGGTGTATAATAAGAAGCTATGCCTTTGTCACCGAGGGCCATGGTGACGGTGTCCGAGAGCACGAAGGCGAGGAGGAGGAGGAGGTGGCCTCGATGGAAATAAAACAGACTCCTGGTAGACATTCTTTTACTGGACTCCTGTTTCAAGATAAAGCCTTTTTTTTAATAAAGAATAACACACGTACTTGAAACGAAAAAGAGTGGCACAAGCCCCAATCGGCGACCCCACGTTATGTAAATTTTAGGGATAAATTGTTCAATGTGGTCTCTACCCTAATATGCAATATGATCTTTGAACTTATAATTTGTTCAATGTGGTCCATGAACTTTTAGTACATGTTCAATTCAAGTCTATAAAGTATATAAAAATGTTCAATATTGTCGTTCCATTAATTAAGTTCAGGGACAATATTGAATATTTTCATAAATTAAAAGGATTAAATTGAATATGTATTGGAAATCCAAAGACCACATTGCACATTGAGATAAACTTCAAAGATCACATCGAACAAATTAAAAGTTCAAAGACCATATTGCACATTAGGACAAAGTTTAGGAACTATTTGTATCATTTTCCCTAAATTTTACCTCCTTTCTTATACATTTGGGCATGTTACCCAAACTAACAGAGCCAACATTTCACCAAAATTAAAGGTAAACCTGCTTCTAAAGATGCAGCTCAAACAAAATATTAAGCAGCAACCCTAAAATCCATCCTTCCTCTCTAGACAGTACAAAATTCTATAAGTCAATTATGTAGAGGAAGTATATCCGTCTATGGTGAAGCCATTTCCCCGCTAAGTGCGGTTGGAATAAAAGAATCCTAGGAGGAGGTAAAAAGAGTTCCAGAATAAACATCCCAGGGAACTTGTAAAACCGCATTCACCAGTCACCACAAAGATGGTGAGATTGTATGCATAGCACACGTGGTGAGATTGTATGCATAGCACACATATTAGATCAAAGAATAAGAGCATGTTCGTTTGCATCAATGCAAATGCCAAAATTTTAAACATTATTCGAATTTCAGAAAATTATAAAACGAGTATAGCAAACGAAAAATTATAGATTATAATAAGCGAAACGCGTCAACACATGAGTATTGTGGAGGTTTCCAGAGTTCTATATTTGAAAAAATGCAATGTGCATGAGCCGCAAAATTTATATTAAGCAAAAAGTAAAAATAAATCCATATGGGTATTAAGGGATTGGAATTTAAAGTAGAACAAAAAACTAAAGCCAAATGCAAAGCCCAAGTACGTACCCTGTGCACCAAACAGTTGATTGAAGGATGTCGTCGAAAGAGATTGTGAATAGGTGAAACAATAACCAGTGCCCCTGCTTGAAGCACGGAGAGTGCTAGTCGACTCAGTTTCTTAGCAAAAGCAGCAGCCAAGTATGCTGGAAGGAGGGGTGATTTTAAGCAGGAAACAAGCAGCTGCAGTTAATAATTAGCGTAGTGTCAGAAAGCAATCCAAAGGTTCAGTAGAGCATGAATGCCACATAGAATGTCTCTACTTTCAAGTTCATCGTTTTAGACATTCATATATCTCTGGACAAAATCAGCAGGTCAACATAAGAAAGCAATGAAACCATTAAAGCATACAGAAAATGTCAGCTTCATGTCAGGAAAGGTCCAAATTGCTCCATTGTATAGCTCTACGATCTCTACTAAAGCACAGTCCTACATGAACTAGCATATCAGCCATCTAAAGAATTGACATTATCTTAAGTTGCCAAAAGCAATGGTTCACATATTGCATCAACATTCTTCATAGCAAACATCAATTAAACACCCTTGATCATTGCTAAACCTCATGCCTCCATAACAATTTCGAGTATGCCAGGTTCCATGCAGACATATATCACATATTCATGAAAATTGATGTGATGCAGGACTGCTTGAAGAAATGATACAAAGTCAGGTAATATAGGAGACGTGATCAATGCAAGATTACTTCATAAAATTTCGCCCTGTGTTTGGTAATGAAGATGGAAGGTTGCAATAGTGCGGAAAGCTTTTCATAGAAGTAGGTGTATTCTAAGCCATGTTGCTTCAAGAGGATGAAGAGACTGCTGAGAGCCATGACACTGACAACTCCACCAATGTTGTACGATCTCGTCAAGAAATTACTGCAAAGTTTCAGTTTACAACTTAAGTTTCTCGAGCATGAAAGATGTCAAATTCAACAGCAAATAAACAAAAAATTGTGGAAGCAAACTCACCATAACATGATGGAATTAGACAGGTGAGGAATAACTGCCTGATGGAGAGAGACCAGAACCTGAGTGTCCAAAGCTAGGCAAGTCATGTAGTTTATAATAGAACCTTGAAAGCTCGGTCAATACGACACCCCATCCATCAGTGAAACATTGGAAAAGAAAAATGACCATGGGCAATAGATATAGCTAATGCCGATACTAGAGATGATGAAGGAAACAAGGTTTTTGCCGGTAATTCCAGCAACCCAAACAAGAGCTAAAACATTATGGAACATTTTACCAAACTACTATTAAATGCCGACCATAATATAAGGTTCGTGAGCCGAAGTAGATAATCACTCGAAAAAGACGAGATTTTCCATATTTTTACATGGCAAACAACCAAGCAATGAAGAATACTCAAATATTCCATGGCAAAGGCTCTTTCATACTAGTTGCACCAGTCAACAGGCACTCGAATTCGATCAAAAAAAAAAACAGGCACTCGAAACTTATTCGAAAATGTTGATGTACCGAGATGCAAAGATAAATCCAACATCTCATACTCCATTTGCATGGTCAAACCATCACATAAAACACAATGAACCAGTGGACAGGGCTTCCAGGGACACCACTCAAAGTCATGCTCTGTACACTTTCGTGCGAATGATTATGAATGATAAGTTCCTGGACCTACCTCCTTATATACATCGAGTGGAAGTGGCAACCTCAAAAATGAAATCCACGCTTTAGTACACTTCAATTCTATCTTCTTAGCTATTTTGGTGGCGGACAGTACCTGTAGAGATATTAAACAGAAAAGCAAATACCCAGTTAGTATAAGTAGAACGCAAGTAGACACATCACTTGGAATATTCAAAAGGAAAAGTTGAAGAGGCACATCAGGAAAATAATAAAGGGCAGTAGATTAACCAGTAATATATACAGAAGATTCATGCTTTTCACTTTTAGGTGAACTTCTGGTTTTAATGACTTGGACATTCCACTAGCATCACAGAAATGATCAAAACCGGGTTTCTTAGACAAATCCATGCCAGTTGAGTCATTTCTATTGCCAACAATCTGCTCTTCCATTTTCAGATCATCCTTGGTCTTAGATTCACCATCTTTCTGCACATATCCACAAATGTGTGTGTGAGATACAGAGGGCAACCAGTGGAAGAGAAGCATCATTTCACTAAAATTTAAGGTAAACGTACTTCAAAGAGTCCTGGTAGAAGCTCACAAAAAAGATTAACTTCCAAGCCTACAACTCATCCTTTCTTAAACATCAGTATGTCACCCAAACTAACAGAGCTACGATTTCACCAAAATTAAAGGTAAATCTGCTTCTAAAGATTCAGCTCAGACAAATATATTAAGCTTCAACCATACAAGCCATCCTTCCTCACTAGACAGTATCAATTGTCTATAAGTCAGTTCTTTAGATGAAGTATATCCATCGATGGTGAACACGAGGGAAGTAATAAGCATCATGAAGGAGATGCCCTAAATGCAAAAAAAAAAAAAAAAAAGAACTGCAGAATTGCAAAAGAAAGCCTACAAACTGCCAAAGCATGGGTCCCACATATATCAGCTTTCAATGCAGTAAACACCACAAATCACATTTGGGAATATTTAACAAACATGAAAGCTTTTTCCAACTCCTTTGGGTGCTCAAAGGGCACACAACACCATTCCAACCGTACCCCACATCATGCCATTGCCTAGACACCAACATCCTGAATAAGTCATTACTTTCTTCCTATATACAAACAACAACCACGTCAACATTTGAAATGCACAAACTGCCAAAGCATGTAAGTTGAGAGGCGCACAACATTCTCTTTCAATTACAGTGAGTATCATGTAAGTTGATATAAATCAGAATATTTTCTTCCAAGTGAAATCCATAGATTAAATAGCTTTTGAGTTATAGGTAATACAATACCCAAAACCTGGGCTACTTCATTTCAAAACATGTTGCTACTATGTTTCAAATAAATGTAATGATACTACTATGTTGCTACTTTGATCAGTCGAATCGTAAATTTCTACATCTTCCATGGAAGTTAAAATGAATCAAGAGAAAATCTTCCAACTGACACTAAGAATCTTACAAAACCACATTGTAACCATTTCCCCACTAAGTGGATAGAGGTAAAAGGAGTTCCAGAATAAACATCCCAGGGAACTTGTAAAACCACATTTACCACAAAGATGGTGAGATTATATGCATAGCACACATATTGGACCAAAGAATAAAGGCATGTTCGTTTGCATTTAAAAGAAAGCAAACGCCAAAATTTAAAAAATTATTTGAATTTCAGAAAATTATGTAAAAAATTTAGCTAATGAAAAATAATGGAATCTAGTATTTAAATCTACGTGTCAACACTTGAGTATTGTGGAGGTTTCCGAAGTTATATATTTGAAAAAAAGCAAAGTGCATGAGCCGCAAGATTTATTATATTAAGTAAAAAGTAAAAATAAATCCAGACTAGTATTAAGGGACTGGAATTAAAGGAAGAACAAAAAACTAAAGCCAAGCACAAAGCTTAAATAAGTACCCTGTGCACCAAACAGTTGATTGAAGAATGCCATCGTAAGAGATTGTGGATAGGAGAAACAATAACCAGTGCCCCTGCTGGAAGCACAGAGAGTGCTAGTTGACTCAGTTTCTCAGCAAAAACAGCAGCCAAGTATGCTGGAAGGAAGGGTGATTTAAAGAAGGAAACAAGAAGCTGCAGTTAATAATTAGCACAGCATCAGAAAGCAATCCAAAGGTTCAGAAGAGCATGAATGCCACATAGAATGTCTCTCCTTTCAAGTTCATCGTCTTAGACATTCATACATCTCTCGACAAAATCAGCAGGTCAACATAAGAAAGTAATGAAACAACTAAAGCATCCAAAAAGTGTCAGCTCCATGTCAGGAAAGGTCCAAATCGCTCCATTATATAGCTCTATCGCTTCTACTAAAGCACAGTCCTACATGAACTTGCATATCAGCCATCTAAAGAGCTTGACATTATCGAAGGTGCCAACAGCAATGGTTCACAAATTGCATCAACATTGTTCAAAGCAAACACCAATTAAACACCCTTGATCATTCCTAAACCTCAAGCCTCCATAACAATATAGACTGTGCTAGGTTCCATATAGACATATATCACATATTCATGAAAATTGATGTGATGCAGGACTGCTTGGAGAAATGATACAAAGTCAAGTAAAACAATAGACATGATCAGTGCAAGATCACTTCATAAACTTTCACCCTGTGGTTTGCAATGAAGATGGAAGGTTGCAATAGTGTGCAAACCTTTTCATAGAAGTAAGAGTATTCTAAGCCATGTAACGTCGTGAGGGTAAAGAGACTGCCGAGAGCCATGACACTGACAACACCAATATCGTACGATCTCGTCAAGAAATCACTGCAAGATTTCAGTTTACAACTTAAGTTTCTCGAGCTTGAAAGATGTCAAATGCAAGAGCAAATAACCAAAAAATTCTGGAAGCAAACTCACAAAAACATGACGGGATTAGACAGATGAGGAATAACCGCCTGATGGAGAGAGACCAGAACGTGAGTGTCCAAGGCTAGGCATGTCATTTAGTTTATAATAGAACTTTGGAAGCACAGTCAATACAACACGCCATCCATCAGTGAAACCATAGAAAAGAAATATGACCACGGGCGATAGATTAACTAATGCCAATACTAGAGATGATGAAGGAAACAAGGTTTTTGCTGGTAATTCCAGCAACCCAGACAAGAGGTCTTACTAAAACATTATGGAACATTTTACCAAACTACTATTCAATGTCGACCGTAATATAAGGTTCGTTAGCGAAAGTAGATAATCACTCATAAAAGAACAGATTTTCCATATTTTTACAAGGCAAACAACCAAGCAATGAAGAATACTCGAATATTTAATGGCAAATGCTCTTTCATACTAGTTGCACCAGTCAACCGGCATTCAAAACTTGTTTGAAATGTTGATGTACCAAGATGCAAAGAGAAATCCAACATCTTATGCTCCATTTGCATGATCAAACCATCACATAAAACACAATGAACCAGTGGACAGGGCTCTTTCATTCGCATGATTATGAATGATAAGTTCCTGGACACACCTCCTTATATACATTGAGTGGAAGTGGCAACCTCAAAAATGAAATCCACGCTTTAGTGAACTTCAATTTTATCTTCTTAGCTATTTTGGTGGCAGACGGTACCTGTAGAGATATTAAACAGAAAAGCAAATACCCAGTGTGTATAAGTAGAACACAAGGATACAAATCACTGTGAATATTCAAAAGGAAAAGTTGAAGAGGCACATCAGAAATATATTAAAGGGCAATAGATTAACCAGTAATATATACAGAAGATTCATGTTTTTCGCTTTTAGGTCAACTTCTGGTTTTAGTGACTTGGACCTTCCACTAGCATCACGGAAATGATCAAAACCGGGTTTCTTAGGCAAATCCGTGCCAGTTGAGTCATTTCTATTGCCAACAATCTGCTCTTCCATTTTCAGATCATCCTTGGCCTCGGATTCACCATCTTCCTGCACATCTCCACAAATGTGTGTGTGAGATATAGAGGGCAACCAGTGGAACAGAAGCATCATTTCACTAAAATTAAAGGTAAAACGTACTTCAAAGAGTCCTGGTAAAAGCTCACAAAAGATATTAACTTCCAAGCCCACAACTCATTCTTTCTTATAAATCAGTATGTCACCCAAACTAACAGAGCTACGATTTCACCAAAATTAAAGGTAAGTCTGCTTCTAAAGATTCAGCTCAGACAAATAAAACCATACAATCCATCCTTCCTCACTAGACAGTACAAAATGTCTATAAGCCAATTATTTAGAGGAAGTATATCCGTCGATGGTGAAAACAAGGAAAGTAATCAGAATCATGAAGGAGATGCCTGAAATGCCAATAATTAAAAAAAAAAACAGCAGATTTGCAAAAGACAGCCTACAAACTGCCAAAGCATGGATCCCACATATACTTTCAATGCAGTTAAACACCACAGATCACGTTTGGGTATATTTAACAAACATGAAAGCTTTTTCCAAATCCTTTGGGTGCTCAAAGAGCATGCAATACCATTCCAACTGCACCCTGCCGTCACCTAGACAACAACATCCTCAATAAGTCGCTACTTTCTTCCTATATACAAACAACCACCACATCAATAATTGAAATGCACAAATTGCCAAAGCATGCTAGCTGAGAGGCACACAACATTCTCTTTCAATTACAGTGAGCATGCCATAAGTTCACATAAATTAGAATATTTTCTTTCAAGTGAAATCCATAGATTAAAAAGCTTTTGAGCTAGGTTATACATTACCAAAAACCTGGGCTACTACATTTTAATACAGTATGTGAATCATCAGTGTTTCTAAGAATGTAATGAAACTACCATGTTACTACTTTGATCAGTCGAATCATAATTTTTACTTCTTCCCCGGAAGCTAAAATGTATCTAGTGAAAATCTTCCAACTAACACTAAGAATCCCACAAAACCAGAGTGTAATTATTTCCCCACGAAGTGTGGTTGGAATAAAAGAATCGTACAAAGAGGTAAAAAGAGTTCCAGAATAAAAATCCCAGGGAACTTGTAAAACCACATTCACCAAAACGATGGCGAGACTACATGCACAGCACACATATTGGATCAAAGAATAAGGACATGTTCATTTGCCTTTAAAAGAAAGCAAACGCCAAAATTTTAATCACTATTCGAATTTCAGAAAATTATGAAAAAAAAATTTACGTCATGAAAAACAATGGAATCAAATATGTGAATCTAGATGTCAACACTTGAGTGTTGCGGAGGTTTCCGGAGTTCTATATTTGAAAAAAACAAAGTGAATGAGCCGCAAGATTTATATTAAGCAAAAAGTAAAAATAAATCCAGACGGGTATTAAGGGACTGGAATTAAAAGAAGAACAAAAAAACTAAAGCCAAGCGCAAGGCCCAAGTAAGTACCCTGTGTACCAAACATTTGATAGAAGGATGCCGTCGTAAGAGATTGTGGAAAGGAGCAACAATAACCAGTGCTTCTGCTGGAAGCACAGAGAGTGCTAGTCGACGCAGTTTCTTAGCAAAAGCAGCAGCCAAGTATGCTAGAAGGAGGTATGATTTTAAGCAGGAAGCAAGCAACTGCAGTTAATAATTAGCGTAGTGTCAGAAAGCAATCCAAAGGTTTAGAAGAGCACGAATTCCGCATAGAATGTCTCTGCTTTCAAGTTCATCGTCTTAGACATTCATATATCTCTAGACAAAATCAGTAGGTCAACATAAGAATGCAATGAAACCACTAAAGCATCCAGGAAATGTCAGCTTCATGTCAGGAAAGGTCCAAATCGCTCCATTGGATAGCTTTACCTCCTGTAGTAAAGCACAGTCCTACATGAACTAGCATATCGGCCACCTAAAGAACTTGACATTATCTAAGTTGCCAAAAGCAATGGTTAACATATTGTATCAACACTATTCATAGCAGACACCGATTAAACACCCTTGATCATTGTAAAACCTTGTGCCTCCATAACAATTTAGAGTATGCTAGGTTCGATATAGATAAATATCACATATTCATGAAAATCGATGTGATGCAGGACTGCTTGAAGAAATGATACAAAGTCAAGTAATATTGTAGACGTGATCAGTGCAAGATTACTTCATAAAAGTTTGCCCAGTGTTTTGCAATGGAGATGGAAGGTTGCAATAGTGCGCAAACCTGTTCATAGAAGTAGGAGTATTCTAAGCCATGTAGCGTCATGAGGATGAAGAGACTGCTGAGAGCCATGACACTGACAACTCCACCTATGTCGTACAATCTCGTCAAGAAATCACTGCAAAATTTCAGTTTACAACTTAAGTTTCTCGAGCATGAAAGATGTCAAATTCAATAGCAAATAAACAAAAAATTCTGGAAGCAAACTCACAAAAACATGACGGGACCAGAACCTGAGTGTCCAAGGCTAAGCATGTCATTTATTTTATAATAGAACTTTGGAAGCACAGTCAATACAACACGCCATCCATCAGTCAAACCTCGGAAAAGAAATATGACCATGGGTAATAGTTTAACTAATGCCAATACTAGAGATGATGAAGGAAACAAGGTTTTTGCTGGTAATTCCAGCAACCCAAACAAGAGGTCTTACTAAAACATTATGGAACAATTTACCAAACTACTATTAAATGTCGGTCATAATATAAGGTTTGTGAGCCAAACTGAGCAAATTTTCTGCACTCCTACCTTCCTCATTCAGACTGGACACTTAAGCTACAAGTTATTATTTAGAGACAGAGCAATCAACAGATCCATTGCAACGACTTTGCGATTTATGGAGCTGCAGATCACAGCTCCTGGAATCCTCTTTCGTTCGCCACACACACAAAGTGCAACGCAAACACATCCAATGAACATGCCAGCAACTTCAACACACACATACTCAGCAAGCCCACATAATACAGACGTTACACCATTCACTTGTGGACATCGCACATGCCTTCATTAGCAGCGCACACAGGCCCATGCTTGCTCATTCTCGCACAGAACTCAACTAAAAACCACTTGCCCAGTGCGCGCATAGCACTCTCTCACACATGACAATTTGATCAACTTACCCACTCAGCTCACACCAAGCATCCAGCATATACCAGCAACCATATAGAACACCCATTTTGCTTTTAACACATCCCACGGTCCATATTCAAAGCTTGCCTACCTCCGTAACATCTTATCCTAGCTTGACGTAACACACAGAGTTCACCAATGACACCTAATCAACACACCATCCATCAGCAGCTCACACGGGCCCATGCTTGCTGTGTGAGAGAGCCATTTTTTAGTGAAGACACGCAAACGGATGAACTCATATCGGCGGATGGCGACAGACATCAACTAGGAACCTTTCCACGTGGAGACACGGAATCCCGCGATAGATCGCAAGGCAACGGCGGATCAACAAGTAGGAACTCAACGACGACACAACAGCGACTCCAGTTGCTCAGGGAACTCTACTCACTTACACGGGGCCGAGATTCAGCAACAGAGCAAGAGAGAATGGGATGCGAACCGGTTCGATCGGGACTGGGTCCGAAGAGACACGAGGCCGCAGCACAACGCCCGCAGACGCAGCAATGATGAATCCGGGACGTGAAGACGCCGCGAGAGCTCGTCGCGCGTGCGGGGTTCTGACGGCACAATGGACGACCTCGATCGATCAACGGCGACGCCGCGACTCGACAAGGGTGGCCAAAAACGGCGGCGGGGATCGGGGTGGTGGCGAGCGAAAAAGGCGGCGGCGGGGGGGGACAACCGGCCGCGGTTGTTTCGGGGGGTGGTGGGGTGGGGTGGGGTGGGGAAGGTTGCGGGAGGCTTCAAGGCAGAGAGGAGAGCGTGCGTGGCTGCTGCTGTTGCTTCGTGGTGTCTCGGCTTTTGCTGAGGCAAGAGAGAGAGAGCTCGAGCGGGGGTTGGCCCAAGGAATGGAGGGGAAAAGATAAGAGCGAGGGGGGGCTCGGCCGCCAGCTTAGAGAGGGTCCTCGTCGTCGGTACGTGGAGAGTGAAACGAAAGAACCCATCATCATCATACGGTGTCTCCCCCACCAAATCTCCCTCCCATTCCTTGACACCAGCATCATGCGGCATCTGATTTTTTTTTCTCTTTTCTTCTCGCTCCCGTTCATTAACGTACCGACACGTGGACCACCGTCCTTGGCGGCAAGGCGAATCGAAGTGAAGGATTTTCAAAAACCTTCTCTCTCTTCATCTCCATCTCTGAGATATCTCCCTCCTTCTTCTTCTTCTTCTTCTTCCTCCTCCTCCGTCCACGGCCGCCCGACCTCCGCTCCCTCCCCCCGTTCACCACCAGCGGAGCCGCCGGCGCCGTGACCGAGCTGGCCGCCACCGCTGCGTCCGGGCGAGCACGGCCGGCTTCCTCTTGTTCTCTCTCCGTCTCGTCGTTCTTCGGGACCTTGAGATCTGGCCGTCCATGGCCGAAATCGTCGGCGCTCGCCCGTAGCCGTAGTCGGCATCGTCCGTCGTCTTTGTGGTCAGAGCTCCGTCTTCCCCGAACATGACCACTACTACTTCCTCTGTTTTTTCTTCTTGATATTTGAGTTCTGTCCATGGCCTTCGGGATCTCTCGACCTCGCCCCTCGCCATGGACGAACCGGTCATGGCCAGGTCTGGAGGAGCCCTGCCGAAGACCGAGCGCGGTCCCACGGCCATCCGGATTTCGAGCTCGCGCCACACGGCCCATGGACAAGCCGCGGTCGCCTGATCTGTGGGCGAGCCGCCGCCTCGCGAGCCACGGACGAGACCAGATCCGCACGGGGCACGACTGCGCGCCGCCGTGGCGATGGAGGGGCGGCTTGGGCTGTGGACGGGGCTGAGAACGAGCCGACTGAAAAGGGCCCGGCTGCGAGCGACGGCGGCGGCGGCGGAGCCGACCCCGAGCACGGCGGAGGGGAAGCATAATGAACAGATCTCTCCGGGCAGATTGTTTGTTTTCTTTTTGTTTTTTATTCCGCGTCAGCAGACACGTGTCAATTTGCGATTGAGTTTAAGTAAAAATATCTACCACCTCAGCGGTTGATGAGGTCCGTGCCCATCTTTTTTTTTCTTTTTTTGTTGGGCGGGCACTTCTCCCGAGGAAGTATGTGTGTAATGTGCACGCAGAATTTCATTTCTCCGCCGCGACCAAGGGACCGCCCAAATCAAAAACTATCCGAATCGAACCGACCAATTTCCGATTTCTAAAAATGAAATCAGTGTCCAAACGATCTGATTTCCACTTTTAAAGAGGAATCGGACCAGATCGACTATAATTAATAAAATGTGAAATCCTACGTAAATTTCATTGACATAAAGTGGGAAAAGTGCCAAAAAAGTCCTAAACCTTTTGCATTAGTGCCAATTTAGTTCTAAACTTTTTTTTTGTTCCAATTCAGTCCTAAACCTTTTGCATTGGTGCCAATTTAGTCCTAAACCTTTTTTTGGTGCCAATTAAGTCCTAAACCTTTTAAATTAGTGTCAATTCAGTCCTAAACCTTTTGTTTTGGTGCTAATTTGGTCCTTCCAGCCAATGTTGACCGGAATTTGCCGACGTGGACGCCGGACGGCCAGCGGCCGGTCACCGGCGCCAACGTGGCGCCGACGTGGACAACTTTAATAATATTTTAATATTTTTTTGAATTTTTATTTTTTTTCCTTTTTTTTCCACTCTTTTTTTTTTGTCTCTCCCCCTTCTCTGGCCGGTCGCCGGTTCGGCGACCGGTTAGAGGCCAGAGTCCGACGAGCTCGACCTCGCCGGCCACTGTCGAGGGCGGCCTCGCCATGGTCGGTCGAGGCCCGACCTCGCCGGATCTGGGGTATCCATAGAAACACAATACGGGAGAATTACTACCATCATTTAATGGGGTATCCTATTCTCACTCGAACGGATTGACTCTTCCTAATCGATATTTCAAGCAAGATAGTAAATTTACTAGAAGTTGGATGAAAGACAGATTCAGCACTTAGCATTGTCAAATATATGCTCAATATGACAAATTCAGAATGGTTCCTCCCACACAGCAAGGAAAAGGTTCCATCACACACTCTCAATATTTCTTTTTCATATTCAATAGGCTGATAGAGTTGCAGATCGAAAGTTTCCTAAGCTTATAATTACTTAACTTGAGAGTCTAGATGCTGGCTGCACATGAGACGTTCACTAAGTACATTTCTTAATAATTGAATGGGTATCCTTTTGGAAACAAAGCTATGTTAAGGAAAATTCCCGATAGATTTTGAAGTTGACAAAACTGTCCATGAGTGTTTTGTAAATCTGATAAATGCTTTGAAGTATTTTGATTCATGAAGTTATTTTTGGAAGAAAAGCATATGTCAATCTTGATCTAGTTCGTGTTCAGATTGTGAAAGAACTTCAAGCAAAAGAGATTCAGACTCAGAACGAGAAAGTTCAGACTCAGAACGAGAAGTTCAGATTCAAAACGAGAAAGTTCAGACTCAGAATGAGAAGTTCAGACTTTACCGAAGACCCACACTAATCTAAGTTTTGAAACAGACGCAGACGCAGAAGTTATGCAGACGCAGACGCAGAAGTTATGCAGATGTAGACGCAGAAGTCTTTCAGACGCAGAAGCAAAACTCATTCAGAACGAAACATAACAGCTAGTGATCTGGTATGGATTTCACAGAAGGAAAGTTTTGATTGTTTCAATCTAAGGCTATAATTGATTGACAATCAAATACTATAACAAGTATGCATTACAACGGATAAAGCTTTACTTATGGAAACCAAGATTCTGATTGTATGGGCGACTAGAATCAGCGGAATTCAGATTTTATCAACCAACGGCTATTCAATCCATTTTATACAAATCTGTCCAAAGGTGAATATTGGAAGATGATCCTCTGAAAATTGTCCAACGGCTAGTTTGGAAGTGGAAAAGTATAAAAGGAGATCAACGAGGAGCAGAAGGTAGAGAACAAAATCAAGAATCAACAAGTCCAAAGTCTGAGCATACTCCGATTCAATCTCTTGTCTTTCGTGAGCTTAAACGTGTAATCATTTGAAAGATGTAGACAGTGTTATAAGTGTGTGTATAGGTGTGAGATAGTGTGATCTATCGGTTTGGTATAAGCAGCACCAACTTCGGGGAGAAGTGCTTGGGTTTAAGCGGCACAACTTGCTGTAACTTCTCATTGATTTGATTAGTGGAATCCAGCCAGTAGGTTGTCAGCGTGGGAAAGTGGACGTAGGCTTGATCTAAGCCGAACCACTATAATTGTTTGTGTGCAATTTTCTCCATCTCTAATCTCTTATTATATTGTTTATACTGCTCACAAGAACATTTGTCACAAAGTCTGATCAGAATCTGCTTTTTGTTCAGACTTTGTTCTTGATCTTTTACTTTCGCTTTAAATTGGTAAAGAATTTATTTAGATCACCTATTCACCCCCCTCTAGATGATCCTTGCTAGCTACAACAATTGGTATCAGAGCAGGTTGCTCGTTTATTGAAGTGTTTTACTTCTGAGCTAACGATCTATATGGCTAGCTTGAGTGCTCCAGGTCTCATTGAAGGACAAAGCAACAACAGACCACCATATTTCGATGGCAAGGAATATAGTGTCTGGAAGAATAAGATGAAGGCATTCATCAAGTCAATTGATCACATGTAATGGGATGTCATCATCAGAGGAGTCAAACCAAGATCTTCCGATTCAAAAGAAAAGATAGAAGGAAGCATACCAGCAGATCCTCCATTATCTCAAACTGAGATAACAAAAAGAGAAGCTTTAGATTCAAAAGCAATTTATTCATTTTATTGTGCTTTATCACCTGTTGAATATAAGAAAATTGCTTCTTGTGAATCAGCAAAGGACATCTGGGACACCCTCTACACCACATATGAAGGAACAGATCGAGCCAAGGAAACTCAGATCAATTTATTACTTGGTCAATATGAATCCTTCAGAATGAAGTCTGCAGAATCAGTTGCTAATATGTATGACAGATTTGCTGACATAGTAAACGGTCTTGCATATCAAAGACAACCAGTCTCAGATGTGATGAAAGTCAACAAACTTTTGAGAGGACTGTCAAAGCAGTGCGATAATATCAAAACATCACTTCGAGAGACTCAAAGGATCATGCCTCTATCAGTGAATGAGCTAATTTGAACTCTTCAATCATATGAGACTGAACAACTGAATGAGGAAAATGAATCCAGAGGTAAAAAGTCAATTGCGTTAAAATCTAACATTGATTCTGATGAGACAGATTCTGAAGAAGATGAAGAAGACGACGATGAGGAGATGAAGTTGCTGATCAAAAGATTTCAACACCTTGTGAGAAAGAGAAGAAACTCCAAAGAGAAGAAGCCAACAAAGAAATCCGAAGAAAGAAAATATTTTAAGAACAGAGACGACAATAAAAGTAAGGATATGATATGTTTTGAGTGCAGGAAAATG